AGGTTCCAGGAACGGCAGGATTGTCTCCACAATTTTGACAATCGGGCTTCTGAATCTCAAACTTTGTCTATATCTGAGACACAGTTTACAAGTTATTGTGTATCCAGTAAATAAGCTATTCAAATAATTCTAACTCATTGTCATTATGTCTATTTCAGAAACATGTATCAGTTTCCAGGGCTATAGACATTTTAGAGGGTGTCCACAGAGTAAAATACCCCAACAGAGACACCATACTCCATGGGTACTGTCACTTCGAGGCTTTGATGGATACCGAATACATGTTTTTTTTTGTTTGTCAACTGTGGTTACCATTCGCTTGTAGTTATAAAGTATTTGCACAAGAAGGGCGTTTTTAGCATGTCGAGTAAGATTATGTTTGCTGTTATATAAAAACGTAACAAAGTAAAAGTATTTATCAAACTTTTGGTTTTTTTTTTTGTGAGTGACCTCAATGAGCCTCCACCTGAGTTTAGATGGAAAGTTGATTTCTGGAAATCAGTACATTTTGAAATGATTGCTCGAGGATTTGTTCCCAGTAAATGTTTTGTCTTTACCCACAAAATTGCACTTTGTCTCAGTGTTTATATCATTTTAACTTATAAATATGTGCATTTGTCACAGGCCGGGCCAAAAATCCATTTGTTGTGCAACCTAGTTATTCAAGGTGGGATAGGACCCATAACAAGGAAAGAGATCAGTGTACCGAACACAGAATTTGCAAATATTGCAACAGCAAAAGTCACATCAAATGATAAATGTTTCTGAAGACCATCTTGTGAATACAAGAAGGTATACATTTTGTGAAAATTTAACTATAGTTGAATCATGTGTCTTTTATTAAATAAATAGTTCTGACTATGTTCTTACTTTTGACCTTTCTGTGTGGAGTTTGCATGTTCTTCCTGTGTTTGCATGGGTTTCATCCAGGTGCTACGGTTTCCCCAACAGTCCAAAGACATGCGGTACAGGTGAATTGGGTAGGCTAAATTGTCCACAGTGTATGAGTGTGTATGGATGTTTCTTAGAGATGGGTTGCAGCTGGAAGGGCATCTGTTGCATAAAACTTGCTTTATAAGTATGCGGTTCATTCTGCTGTGGCGACCCTGGATTAATAAAAGAGACTAAGCCGAAAAGAAAATTAACTAATTAATGTTTTTACTTTATATTAGATTGGGGTTGTAAGAAAACTCTGCAAGGCCTGCAATATTGACTCCAAAGGCTCTCGCATGGACCTCATTTCAAGATTACGAGCAGAGATGCAGAACAGACAGCCCTACGACAAATTGTTTCAGAAAGTCTGTTAAGCATCAGGTGAGATTAATTATATTTTACTTTAATGACATAACTACTTAAAATTGCCCCTACTAAATTTTGTATTTTGGCTTTTCCAGGTGGTTGGTCAGTCATTCTATGCCCACATGGTGTGGTGTATAGCATAAAGTTTAATTTGAGAGCAGAGTCTAAGAGATTTGCAGACCTATTGTTGTCATGGAAGCATATCCCTAATGTTTCTAAATATGATTTTGCACGAGGCTTGGCCACACACACCAATTTGCGTCTACCTACAGCTATCCGCTTTCATCCACATGAAGGAAGATTTGCTGAGCCAACACCAGAAAACTGAAGGTAACTCTTCCTGAGTTGTTTAAAAAAAAAGAAAATTCAGATTTCTGGGCTGGTCATTATTCCTGTCTTGGTGTGTTAAAAGTGGCTTGCAGGATGCCCGTGTCCAGATTCAGCCTTGGTAAAATGTCCATCGGGACAATTGATCCCTGTCTCGTGTGTTAAAAGAGGCCATGGGACTCCCGTTTTCATGTTCAGCCTTGATTAATAACCTATAGGGACAAATGAACTATGTTGCAGCACAAGTAGGTGCTGGCCTGGATGAGACTGACCAGGTCTGCGTCTGGTTTGAATGGCCATCTGGCCCGTGGTCCAACTCTTGGTATTAGCAAACATCTTCCAGGACTGCTCTTTCCTCTGAGCTGCATAAAGAGGTCAGCTGATGGCTGCCTGGGAGTGGGGCTTGACTTTTTGGAGAAAATGTATATGTATATGAATATATATATATATATATATATATATATATATATATATATATATATATATATATATATATATATATATATATATATATATATATGAAATGCAATTAATTTTAATTTTTTAACTGTATATCCATACAGTTGAAGTCAGAATATTAGCCCCTCTTTCCCAAATGTTTCCCAAATGATGTTTAACAGAGCAAGGGTAATTTCACAGTATGTCTGATAATATTTTTTTATTCTGAAGAAAGTTTTATTTGTTTTATTTCGGCTAGAATTCAGTTTTTTACACACCATTTTAAGGTCAAAATAATAGACTCTTTAAGCTATATTTTATCCGACAGTATACAGAACAAATTATTGTTATACAGTGACTTGCCTAATTATGGAGTTAGATTTGTTTCTTTATTATTCAATCAAAAATATTAAGTTTTAATGAGAAATTAGGTATGTAGTGAATAAAAAATAAAAGATTTCAAATAAAAAAAACATGTTTAATAAAAAACGTATGTCAATGATAATAAAATATTTTGGATTGCAAAAAATAAACAATTGTCCTATTATGTAGTTACCACAATTTTCATTGCACACTCATTACTTTTGCTCTTTTTTCTGCTGTCATTCATTGCACATCTAGAATCTTTGCTTGCGGGTTGAAATGTTTTGTTTGTGAGTTGTAAAGTTTTGAACCCATGAATGCTGGAGTTAATTTTGAGTCTTTATTATTCAAACAAACATTAGAAGTTTTTGACCAAAATTAGGTACAATACAATTAAAAAATAAAAGATTTCAAATAATAAAAAAAGATTTAATCAAACAAATTCACACTGCAAAAAATGAACGATTGCCATTTTATGCAGTTACCACCAGATCAATTAAATGTGTGCTCATTCCTCATGCTTTGACTTTTGTTTCATTTTTGCAGATCTAAAATCTTTGCTTGCAAGTTGAATAGTTTTGGGAGTTGAAAACTGCAGCTCAGTGGGCTGGGTCTTCTGAAAAACCTTATTCTATTGGTCAATCTTGATTGAGGTCACAAGTTGGCCACGCCCATTACATTTTCACACGGTTGGAATAGACTCTCCCTTGTGAGATCAGGCTGGGTCCACATTGTCCCCCGATAATGTCATCAGACTGGACTGTCTTTGCAACTGGATGAATGAAAAGGAGGACTAAGAAAAATAGTTTCTACTTTATAATTAATGTTCTCAACTCACAGCAATACAACTTTACAATGAGTACAATTTTTTGTATTCAATACTTTATTATTATTATTATAATTTTCCAACTTCCATATTTGCAATGCCTGTATTTTGGCATTTTTTTGCAGTCCATTTAGAATCCAACATGGAAATCAATGTTTTCTTTATTGGTATTGATTGTTTTAAAATTCAAATGGCACTACATGCCTGTGTTTTAATTTCTGTAATAAATATGGCTGTCAAGCCATGATCTTGATGGTTTATTGCAAGTATGTTGTTAACATAAAGAAATCTGTGTTACAAGTTAAACAAAAATTCTAATTAACAATTGTATTTTGAATGTAAATAGTTTTTGTCTTGCGTTTACATTAATTTTACATTTGAATGGCCAAAATGGCAAGTTTCAGTCTTTTAAATGTGATTAATTGTGATTAATGGCAATTCATTTAAAAAAAAGTGTGATTAATTAGTTAATTTTTTTAATCGATTGACAGCACTAAATTATACAACAGTTCTGTCTGGTTCTCGAATCTGATTGGTTGATAGCTGTGCGATATTTTGCAAGTAACAACGCGCAAAGGCCTCTTCCCCCTTCACCTCTGTGTATTACTCCACCCACATACAGCCAGCAACAAGCAGAGAGACGCTACAGTTAGACAAATATTTCTGTTGTTTGACAACAAAATGTACTTTTGAGGCTTTTTTAGTCGAGAATGTAGTTGTTTAGATTGCAACTATGCAGTTTATTTGTAAGAATAGTGGCTATTTTAAAATATTTACAATTTCTGAGAGCGCTTGTCAGCGGCCATTAGCCTGCCATAGTGTAGAAGACCCAAAACGATTGAGAGGGTGCTCGCTGCAGAGCCATTTGAGGAGAGGTGAGCTCCAGAGAGGGGGAGCATGAGCTGTCGCTCCTCCTCCTGTAAGCTGTTTTAATGCGTACACCAACCCCACCCCTAACCCTACCCCCAGTGACATCACTCGTAGAAGAAGTGCAAAAAAGGTGGAGCTCAAGCTTAAGCTCCCCCTCTCTGGAGCTCACCTCTCCTCAAATGGCTCTGCAGCGAGCACCACTTGAAACGATTGATGTTGTCTAATCCACAAAATGGCGCCAGGACCGCATAACAAGCCTTTGATTAAAACTGTTGTGTATTTTCTGGAGCGTGAAGCTGAAAAACTGAAGCCTCACTGTTTTTAGGGTGGACCGAATAGAGTCAATAAGAAGCTGCGAATAAGAAGCTGGATACAGCCTCGTCCCTCTTTATCACAAACACTACAGCAGTCAGGTAGTGATTGCGCTGCTTTATTCGAGGGTAATTATTGTGATATTAGAATGGCCACTTAATGTTTGATATGCATTGTCTATAAATGTCCCTTTCAAGAGGAGTCTTCTCTGGTTGTTTTACCTTTGAGATGTAAGCACACATGTATGGGAGCTTAATTCAGTTCTGGCAAGCTCTGCAAAGTGTGTGATGGTCGCTCCACCGCTGCATCATTCTTTTATTTCAATAATGAAACATTTTATTTTGCGACAGATGTTAACTGTATATAGCACAGCTAAGGGGGTTTTAAGCAGTAAGCTCTGTCATATATAACAGGCCCTTAAACAGTTACAAATGTACTATAAATCATGGCTACTTCTATAAACAGAATCCCTTTTATAGTCAAATAGTGTCAGGCTTGTTGGATCTAGGACTGCACAGTATACACACACACGCACACGGATTATCATGTACAGTAATGAGCCCTATCGATGCAAGAATTTATTTAAAGAATATTATATTTCTTTACAGCTCAGATCTACTTAACCCTTAGAAATCATACACAATGTTTAATTATTTTTAACAATTTTATTATTACGAAGGTCTACATTTCAGAAAGGTGTATTAAATACACTACATTTTCTGACTACTGACACACTTGGCTTGTATGGTGTGGCCATTTATGAAGAGTTTTTGAAGAATGGCGGTAGCTCGTTCTGCTCCAGTGAAATCGGCATATAGCAGGAAAGCTTTGCGCTTTGCCCCCTGCCATCTGATTTGCAAAGGAACAACTTCCTGTTCTCTGAGCAGGCCCTTCAACTCACTTACACGTAATGCAGGAGGAATGTCACTCAGGTATACAGTGGTGGTAGGAAATTTGGGTTCAAATCCAGAACACCTGTCAGAATTCGAAGCTAAACATTTAAATTCCAAGTCAGCTTTAGGATGAGATTGCCATTGTAGCTCTTTGGATTTCCTATATTCATCCTCTCCAGCATGTATTAATTTCAAAGCAACATCTTTTCCAGCTTCCTGCTCCAGTGTTCTTAGTTTCTTCAGAATGGGTATTTTCTTCAGTTCTTCTTTGTGTAACTGAAAACATTGGTAGGTTATAACAGGTTAGTAAATATATAGAGACCATCTGAACAAGACTTAGTAATTCTTGTTACATACTGTAGGTAAGAACAGGGGTGTCTAAACTCGGTTCAGGAGTGCCTGTGTCCTGGAGAGTTCAAACACACTTGAACCTGTTAATTAACTTCTGATTAGATATACTAGAAACTTCCTGGCAGATGTGTTGTGGCATGTTGGAGCTAAACTCAGCAGGACACCAACTCTCCAGGACCAAGTTTGGACACCCCTGGGTAAGATAATTCTCAGGATGCCAGATCACAAAAAAACATAAAGCTGACAAGCAGTCCCTGAATGTGAAACAAAATCTGATTCACTGGAAACATCCCCAAGATGTAACGACCACTTTCCTTGAGGCACTGCATCTACTGAGACCATTGTACCAAAATTCCTATATAGAAACATTCATTCATTCATTCATTTTCTTTTCGGCTTAGTCCCTTTATTAATCCGGGGTCGCCACAGCGGAATGAACCGCCAACTTATCCAGCAAGTTTTTATGTTGCGGATGCCCTTCCAGCCGCAACCCATCTCTGGGAAACATCCACACACACACACACTCATACACTACGGACAATTTAGCCTACCCAATTCCCCTGTACTGCATGTATTTGGACTGTGGGGGAAACCGGAGCACCCGGAGGAAACCCACGTGAAGGCAGGGAGAACATGCAAACTTCACACAGAAACACCAACTGAGCCGAGGTTCGACCCAGCGACCTTCTTGCTGTGAGGCGACATTTACCAAAACTACTGGTGTTTGTGAAATTTTCCCTTTCACAATTAGGTATCAACCATTCACATCAGAAATAACATTGTCCATAGAAAAGTGAACAGTCTTATTTATCAATATGGCAACTCCTCTACATCTGGAATCAAAGTTGGAATGAAAAGTGTGTGATGTCCAACGAGTTTGGAGTCTGCCTTGATCCTTAAGTCGCAGATGTGTTTCCTGAAGGAGTATAATGTCAGGTTTTTGTAGCTTCAAATGAGTCAGAACTTTAGATCTTTTAATAGGACCATTGAGTCCTTTAACATCCCAACTCAAGAATCTAACTAAATTTCTGGTTTTGTTCATCCAGTTGCTTTAATATACAAGTTGAGAGAAGGCCACAGGCATAGAGAAGCACACACAAAAATAAATAAATAAATTAAAAAATAAAGATAAATAACACCGCCCACCATCCCTCCCCACCCATCTTTACCCGGAACATTACTCAACTTCTTCTCTCCATTCCTAAACAATGGAGGCAGAACTCCAAAACTTGTTAACCTCCGATGCACAAAAACACTATATATCGGCATCTAAATCACGTGAGGTCACTCCCGAACATATAAAGCAAAAGTCATTTCTGGCACCATGAAAAAAAAAAACAAAAAAAAAAAAGTTTTTCTGAACCAGCTTGGTTAACAGTCATCAGTTAACGGAGTACTGTACAGCTGTTAATACAATGATGTTTATTGCGTATTCATCTCAGTGTGATGTCTAAGAAGTAGAATACCGTTCGTTGAACCACCGCTGGGCTTCTTTAGGGCAGTCGAATTGAAACTTTTCATCGCCAATGCTGATAATTAGGCGAGCCGGGAATCTAAGAAAAAATCTCACATTCTTCTCACGCAAGCCATTTCTCACAACTGAAAATGCTGCTCTCCTTTTAGCCACACTAGAGTTATGATCAGGGAAAATGAAGATCTTGTGGCTCTGATAGAAGAGCTGGTTCCAATTCCCTCGCCGGACAACCTTTTCTTTGTCGGTGAAGTAGTGAAACCGCACAATCATCACTCTAGCTCTTTGATTCTCCTTGTCGGCCAAAGATACGGGGCCAATACAGTGCGCTCTATCCAGCAATGGAGGAGCTGGAAACATCTCCGATCCGAGCACGTCCTGGAAAAAGTGTGACATAAATGTGACCGGATCGCTCCCTTCTACTCCTTCCGGAAGACGATAACCCAGAGATTACAATGCCGAGAGCGCGATTCCAAGTCCTCCACTTTCTCGGTGAGTACTTTATTGGCTTAATTCAACTTTAGCACCGTCTGCTCCAGTGCTACAATGCGGTCGCTGTAATTGTTCATGTGCTGATCAAGTTCGTCAATGCGTCGACCTTGTGACTCGATGCTTGATTTAAAACTCTCAAACGATGCAACAACTGGAGCAAGAGCAGTGTCAATTGCTGCTTTCACCTGTTCTGCGATGGTAGAAGTTAGCTCGGTGATAGCGTGGCACGGAGATTCTCCAGATCCAGCGGCAGCCTGTCGCCATGACTCTGTCGCGGCCGCCGACATTTTAATTTTTTTCTGCCTTTCAGAAGCCATAAGTCCGTCCAAACTGTAACCGTCTGATGCCTGATGCAAATAGGAAACCACCAAGCATGTTTAAAGATTTAAGCAGCCAGCTAGATATATTGAAAGATGAAAATGCTCGGGAGCTAACTTCAAGTGCGTCTACCCACTCACATGCTTAACCGGAAGTCTCTCAACTATAAAATTTTAACAGTGATTTTGCTGACATTTTATTAGTTTAAAATGATGCAATATATATATATATATATATATATATATATATATATATATATATATATATATATATATAGGGCTTGACATTAACTTTTTTGATCGCCAGCCACTGTGGCTAGTAAATTTTCAACATTACTAGCCACTTGCCATTTTCACTAGCCACAATTCTTTTGCTTGGAAAATATATTTTATATCAATAAATGTGACTTTGACATGCTAAAATGACTTCATATAGATGTTGTGTTGTCCACATGCCTAATCATTTATTTCACTATTTGTGTGTGTTGTGTATGAGCTTGCTTACTGTGCATGAGCAAATGGGTTGTGTCGCATTGCAATTGGTTTGTATTTCACATGACTTTTTAGGGCTCAAAATTAAGTATTTGCCAAATTTATCTCTGACCACACCAAAAAGATATAATTATTTCTTAGCCACACATTTTAAATGTGTCAAACAAGCAAATATATAGCTGTATACATGTACTTTTTATTCAACAAAACTTTTCTTTTTTTTTTTTTTTTAAATTGACATTTAAAAATATCTAGTTATGTATCTAAAATATGCAAAGTAATCTGTCCTGGCTGAAGGTCCCACATCAGCAGTTACATAAATGGGAAGTTAATCTAACATTAAAGCAATGTCATTGTAAAGAATGATAATTAAACTATATTTACAGAAATAACTGTTAGCAAAAGAAAGCAGGTAACATCAGGCCGTAAAGCAAATCATTCAAATCTGGTAAAATGTAAAGATCTATTAAATGTAGATCTGAGACTACTATAGAGAAAACAGCTAAAACTGTTAAGTTAGCGCTTTTAAACATCAGATCGCTCAACAATAAGTCTCTTTTAGTCAATGATTTTATCAACACAAATTTCCTTGATTTTATGCTTTTAAATGAAACTTGGCTAGATGACAGTTGTAGCGCAGCAGTTCTGAATGAAGCAGCTCCTTTAAACTTTGACTTTTTGAGTGTTTGCAGAGTTAATAGGAGAGGTGGAGGCATCGCTGCCCTGTTTTAAGATGTGTATGAATGTAAACAAGTGTCATTTGGTGACTATTTGTCTTTTGAATATCTGAGTATAGCACTAAAAGGTGCTCCACGCATCTTACTGATCATTATCTACAGACCTCCAAAATATTCTCCAGCTTTTATTGAGGATTTTACAGAGCTGTTATCAATTGTAACCTCTGAATTTGATTATTTTAGTATTGCTGGGGATTTTAATATTCACATTGATAATCCAGAAATCAATGCTGTAAAAGAACTGATGACTGTTTTTAACACTTTTGATCTGACTCAGCATGTTCAAGGACCCACACACAATCGTGGACACACTCTTGATCTACTTATAACTAAGGGTTTACACATTTCATCGACTGTTGTTAAGGATGATTAAAGACAGATCTGTCTCTGTCAGAAAGAGATGCATAAATGAGAACACCAGTGAGCAGTTTATGAAGGCCATATCGCTAGCACCAAGTATATCTGCAGACTCTGTTGATTCTCTCCTTGATTTGTTCAATTCTAAAATTGAGAATGTCATAAATGACATCGCTCCTGTTAAAGTTAAGAAGATGACAGGCAGGCAAAAGGGATCTTGGACAAGGTCACCAAGAGTACAAATGATGAAAAGACAGTGCAGAAAAGCTGAGCGTATGTGGAGAAAGACGAAACTAGTAGTCCATTATAATATCTATAAAGACAGTCTTCATGGCTTTAATATGGAACTAAACACTGCTAGACAGACTTTCTTTTCAAGCCTTATAAACAGCAACTTAAATAATGCTCGCACACTCTTTGCAACGATAGAGAGACTCACAAACCCCCCCAGTCAGATTCCAAGTGAGCTCCTCTCTGAAAGCAAATGTAATGAGTTTGCTCATTTCTTCACTGATAAGATCAATAATATCAGAAAGGCAATCAGCTCATCCAATCAGTCAAGTTGTGTCGATATCAAACAAGCTCAACCACAACTTAAGAAATCAGAAATTATGTCTGATTTCATGGCAATTAACGGCAAAATCTTAGAAGAGATTGTGCAAGTTATGAAAACATCAACCTGCAGTCTTGACACGCTCCCCACATCATTCTTCAAAACGGTGTTTACCTGTTTAGAAATGGATCTTCTAAAAGTGGTAAATGCTTCACTTCTATCAGGGATTTTTCCAACCTCACTTAAAACTGCAGTTGTTAAACCCCTCTTGAAGAAGAGCAACCTGGATAACACCCTATTGAGCAATTACAGGCCAATCTCAAATCTCCCTTTCATTGGCAAAGTCATTGAAAAAGTTGTTTTTAACCAGGTTAACAAGTTCTTAAACTTCAGGGGGTGTTTAGACAATTTTCAATCGGGGTTCAGAAGCACATCACAGTACAGAGAGCGCTCTTATAAAGATAATCAATGATATACGCCTAAATACAGATTCAGGTAAAATAACA